CTTAGGAGACTGAGTTTATTCACGTTGTATTGTTCCATATCTTTAATAGTATCCTCAGCCATGGTTACACCCAAAGGATAAGCAAAGTCAAAGTCTAATATGTGGTTATTCTAGTCAGGACCCAGTTGAAGCCACCTGGGCTACCAGTAAGGGTCCAGTGTTGTCAACTGCCATTCCCTGCCCTTGAGGAATCTTACCCAAAGTCATCTTTTGGAAATTCTTTTCCCATTCACAGTCCAGATAGCATATTATCACATCAGCAATTTCCATAAAGGAGGATGTCATTGTTCCACCCAATATTTATAGCTCAAGTGAAAATATCCCCATTTATTTTATGTACCCAAGGAGATAACATCCAAGGAATAGACCAATGCATCAGTCTTTGTATTCTAACCCCATATGAGCCAGCAGCCAGGTTTTATCTGGTGGTCATTGATATGACCCATTGTAATTCTTCCACAGAATTTCCACATATTTCCATAATTTAATTCACCTCACAGTGGTATTTTTAATTGTCCAATCCTAAAGTGTTACTTTAGTAGGATAAAACTCATAGGTTCACCTTTTTTAACAAGAAACTAAGAATTCTTCTGGTGGTTCTGTCCTCTATACCAAAGGTGGGGCTGCAACCTGTTCATGGATACCGTGTACTTTCCCAGAGTCACATCTAGTTACTATTCCATTTCTATGTTATCCATCATTGGATCTGATCCATCATTATTGGAATAGCTCTCTGACATTACCTATAATATTATGGATATTTGATGTCTTTCAGTGATGAGAGCTATTTCTATCAAAGCCCAATTTCAGGACAAAGGTCTCTTGGAGTGACTACATCTAGCTATTGCCATCAGGTTACTTGCAGATCTAAATATCTCAGTAGTCACCAAGCGAGAGCAGTTATAGACTTCTTCCTGAGAATTTAGTCTGCATAGTAGATATTTTCAAAATAATTCATGTGACAACATTACATGGACTTGATTTTGCTACTTGAGCTATAGCTCTTCCTTTGTAAATATATCAAAGTCTCTTTTGTTCCAGATCCCATTCAAACTCAGATTTCTCTTTGGTCATTTGATTTATAAAGGATAATAACATCTTAGGTACAACATATGTACCCTCCAATATTCAAATAGCCTTAAAAGCCATTGAGCCTCATTCTAAGTAGTAAGCCCTGGCATATATTATATACTGTCTTTGGAAAGTCTCTTCTGATTACAGCCCATGTTTTTCACTCAAAATTGAACTGAATAAACTATCACAATTCTCATTTTCTCCCTGGCTTTCTTTTCTTTTAGAGAAGCTATCATGGTAGTATCATCGTTATGAAGCAACTGACTTTTGATAATGATCAAGTATAAATCTTGTCTTATTAGGTTATGACAGTATACTAGAGAATATAAGTATCTTTGAGGGAGGATAGAGAATGTATACTGTTGTTAGTCCCATGAGCAAGTAAACTAATCCTGGCTTTCTTTTAATATGAGAATGGAAAACAAATTGTATAATATGGTATATTATATGTATATACTAGATAGACATATACATACATTATTATTGGTCTCAATTCTTCACTCTCTTCTGCAGTCACACACTTGCCATGACATCACTGGGAGAGAGGGGTGAATTTTTCAGCCCCTTGGTTTTGGTTTGCCCATATAACTCGCTTTGGCCAATGGCAAGTGGGCAGAAGTGATGATGTGTTAGTTGTACTCTTAGCCTTTAAGGGACATTGCATGGCTCCCCTTGCCTTCTTGCAATTCTGCCACACAACAGGAAGAGCTGTCCCTAGGAAGCTACTGTCTTATCAGTTTCAGAATGCACAGATATGGAGTGGAACAGCCCCAGCCAACCTACCCCAGCAGCCATAACCTGAAGTATAACCTTTCAGATGATCCCAAGCTGGGATAACCGACCTTTAGCCAGACTCAGACACAGATGATAATAAGTGATTCTTATTGAAGGCACTAAAGTTTGACGTGGCTTCTTAGGCAGCTAGAGTTAACCAAAAATAAAGTACTGATAGGTCAAATTTCTTATATCTCTCATTTAAAATATCTAATTAAGTACTTAATTTGAACTTGTGGATTTAAGTTGAAATAGTAATACATTTTCATCATATATTGGGAAATTTAGAATAACTTTAGGTTCACTCTGATTCTAAGATCAAGATACCAGATCTGTAAGAATCTTTTAGTACTCAGGAAGGTTTAGTCAAACAATAGAATTGATAAAATAAGAAATTAAATATATTAAATTTGAGATGAATTTTTAAAAATTTGGAAGTCTTGACTCATTAAATTTTTAGATAAAACCAAAACATTTTTCAAATGTCTTTTAAAAGGGGTTGGTATTATCGATTAAAGCTAAACATGTACACACTCCATGACACAACAATTCTGTCATAGATATATATCCAACAGAAATATTTCCATATGTTCTCCAAAGGCATATGCTGGAATGTTTGTAGTAACACTATTTGTAATAGTGCCAAACTGGAAACTACCCAGCTGCCCATCAAAGGTAGAATAGATGAGAATGAATAATCTTTATCATTGTGCAATAATATAAATCAAATACATTATCATATTAAAATCAGACTCAGAAGAATAAATAGTGCATAATACTATTTATGTGAGGGATAAATAAGAACAAGACCAATCTACCCAATTAGGAGTCAGAATAGTGGGTATACTAGGTATGATCGTAGATAATGTTGCAATTAAAGGTCTGAACAGTGGATATCCTAGAAAACTAGAGCTGGCATAAACGGGACTTATTTGATGCTGGTGGTGTTCTATTTCTTATGTGAGTTCTAATTTGATGGATTTGTAAAGTTTGTAAAAATATATCCAGCTATATATTGTACTTTTGAACCATGCACTTTTTATGTGTATATGGTACTTTAACAAAATGCTTTTTATTAAAGTTTAAAAAGTTTTTCTTAATTTAACCATTTTAGACTTACTAATAAGATTTTTTAGCAAACTTTTTAATCTAAATGAGGAACTAGATACAAAACTTCCTGATCTATGAGATACATATTACAGTGCCTCTCCAGCTCAGTTAATCCAACAGTAGCCATGTCCATGATTAACTTTCTTCTTCTAATAATAAATCACTCTTCCTGGGCAGACATGACCTAAGATGGGCTGATCATACTTCCTTGCTCTTCTTGGTAAAGTAATTATTCCTGGGGGAGGGAGGTTAGGTGTATGACTTGAGCTAGATCAATTGCAGTCGTTTGGGGGCAGTATTTCACAATGAAACTAGAAAAGAAAAGTCCTTTCTTTTCAGGTCACAAGACTGAATGAATGTCAGCCTGCTGAAGCTTGGACTCAAAAGATGAAGAATTTATCAAGATTGTTAGCGTGAGAGAATAACAGCAATATACAGAAAGAAGGAATCAAAAGGCTGTGGGGTATGAGTGTGGGTATGTGTGTGTGTGAAAGAGAGAGAGAGAAAAAATAGCTTTTGAATAGCTTTTGAATCCCTAGATTCAACAATTCCTGAGGCCAATTCAATTCAATCCCAGCCTTTTCTATTGTTGGATTACTTGATCCAGTACTATAGTCCTCTATTTTATTCATGTAGTTCAGGTTGAGTTTTGTCACTTGAAATTAAAATAGTCGTAATTGACAGAGTAATCAAACTATAGTCCCTCTCACTTTTAGTCTTCTGGAATTCATTAATATTAATTGCCACATTCTTGAAGAAGTGTTCAGATATTCAAATAAAAATGGCTTTAGGTTAAAGAATACGATGTTAACTGGGGCCCAAAGAGAATAAAATCAAGCACGTTAGAAGTAACATAAGAAAGCAAAATTAAGATGACTTGGGTGAAGATCAGAAGATGCTGACAAGTCATATTAAAATAAGCTTTGTCAGAATCACATGCACATACCACACACACACATATGCACACACTCAAGTTAGACTCGGGTTTTACAAAAAGAAACTTTAGTTTTTCACAGATACAGAACATAATTTTAAAATAAATTATATATATATTTTTACAATTAATGACTTTAAATGATCCTGTTCCTCTTTGTAGGTATTATGATCTTGTATGTGTAACTTCATTCCAGACTTAAATAAAATACCCCCCTCAGGTTCAACTACTTCTCTTTTTCCTATGTTTTCTCATCTCGCACTGTTTACTCTTCTATGATGAGATTTAAAACTTTTTAATATGCAAAGCATTCACTTATTTTCTTTACTTACACCTGATCATTTCTTTCCTCTGATCTCTTAGTAAAGAGAAACAAAGCATTCTTGATGGATTATTTGGGGAAAATCAACCAGTAGGAAGAAGAAACATTGGGCTACAGGAGGTCTAAGCCAGCCCTGACTTTGGGAATGCATGCACCATGAGGAAGAGAAGGAATAGAAAAACCAAGATGGCAGAGTCAGGACAGCAAAAGTAGTAGTGTGAGAGTTTCCCAGGAGTTTGTGAGTGAGAGAGAGCTAGAGATGATATGATACTCTGATTTCCCACAAGCTAAAATAAGATTTGAGATTAGATTGATATTTCTGTCTGATCTTTGATTGGAACAGTGCAGTGTGTACTATGCACAGGCTGATAACAGAAAATACACATAACACTAAAATCTGAGGTCATAAACAGGAAAGGCATACACCTCTACCCAGAACTGACCACAGTGCATTAAGAGGGTCTTTGACAAGGGAGAGACATTGAAAAGTCAAGTCAATAACGGTGGAAGTATAAGGTCTGAAGGAAGAAAGGATCATCAAAGATCACATCTGATCAGAAACAATGCTGAGCCAATCCCATTCTGGGTCCCAAGCAGCAAAGCCCATTTTAACAGAAGAGGGCAAGGATACTGCTTGGGATGTTCAGACAGTGGGAATAGCAGAGGTCAATCATTTCAAATATTTCATTTTAAAATAAGACAAGGGGGATGAGAAGTAGTATAGATCCTCTAGGATGTACCCAGCTGGAAGTAGCCATATAGCTGACACCTTCAAGCTTCTACACCTCAAAAACATCTACTTGTTTCCTCAAGAGGCAAATCCTCTAAGAAGTCATCTGCAGCCCACAGCATCTGTCTCAATGCAGAGAGGTTCAGAACGTCCATGACAGGCTCCAGTTCCCACTCTGAGGTATAATTACTAACCACAAAGCGGTCAGAAGAACAAATCCAAGTTCTCTGTGAACTGCCTCTAGCTGCAATACAGAATTTAAAACCCAGAAATCTTAAAACAGTGGAAAATACAATTTTATGTTGATATAAATTATGAAAGCAACATCAAAGAGTAGGAGCTTGGCAATACTTGTCCTGTTGGAGAATGTGGAGACAGAGATCTGGCCCCATAAAGGGATTTCTTCAAGAACTTTGCGGGACCCGGCCCTGAGCGTGGCTGAGGGCAGTTGTGTCTCCTCAGGCACAGCCGTGCTGTGGCTACCGGCGGGCTCTCGGTCTCCTCAGGACACGCTGGGGTTTCGGCTTCAGGATAACGTGGGGCTGCGTCCACGCTGACGGGAGCTGGGTTTCCTGAGGACGCAGGCGACGCCGGAGAAAAGGTGAGGAGACAGCGAGGAAAAGAGGGGAGAAGCTTCCTGGGGGCGACTGACGGCTGCGGGGGCCCGTCTTCGTGCGACCCAGGAAGGGCTTGGTGTGCACAGCTGGGTTTTTGGTCAGGCTGGTGCGCGGTGGAGCCGCGTGGGCTGTGGGGTGTGCCGTCTTCCCCGCACCGTTTACCGTGGGGCTGCCCTTCCGCTCGATATGGGAAAGGAAATCGTTAATCAAGTCCAGGAAGCACAGAGAGTCCCATACAGGATAAATTCAAGGAGAAATACGCCAAGACACATATTAATCAAACTGTCAAAAACTAAATACAAAGAAAGCATATTAAAAGCAGCAAGGGAAAAACAACAAATAACACACAAGGGAATCCCCATAAGGTTAACAGCTGATCTCTCAGCAGAAACTCTACAAGCCAGAAGGGAGTGGCAGGACATACTGAAAGTGATGAAGGAGAAAAACCTGCAACCAAGATTACTCTACCCAGCAAGGATCTCATTCAGATTTGATGGAGAAATTAAAACCTTTACAGACAAGCAAAAGCTGAGAGAGTTCAGCACCACCAAACCAGCTTTACAACAAATGCTAAAGGAACTTCTCTAGACAAAAACACAAGAGAAGGAAAAGTCCTATAATAACGAACCCAAAACAATTTAGAAAATGGGAATAGGAACATACATATCGATAATTACCTTAAATGTAAATGGACTAAATGCTCCCACCAAAAGACACAGATTGGCTGAATGGATACAAAAACAAGACCCATATATATGCTGTCTACAAGAGACCCACTTCAGACCTAGAGACACATACAGACTGAAAGTAAGGGGATGGAAAAAGATATTCCATGCAAATGGAAACCAAAAGAAAGCTGGAGTAGCAATTCTCATATCAGACAAAATAGACTTTAAAATAAGGACTATCAGAAGAGACAAAGAAGGACACTACATAATGATTAAGGGATCGATCCAAGAAGAAGATATAACAATTGTAAATATTTATGCACCCAACATAGGAGCACCTCAATACATAAGGCAAAAACTAGCAGCCATAAAAGGGGAAATCGACAGTAACACATTCATAGTAGGGGACTTCAACACCCCACTTTCACCAATGGACAGATCATCCAAAATGAAAATAAATAAGGAAACACAAGCTTTAAATGATACATTAAACAGGATGGACTTAATTGATATTTATAGGACACTCCATCCAAAAACAACAGAATACACATTTTTCTCAAGTGCTCATGGAACATTCTCCAGGATAGATCATATCTTGGGTCACAAATCAAGCCTTGGTAAATTTAAGAAAATTGAAATTATATCAAGTATCTTTTCCGACCACAACGCCATGAGATTAGATATCAATTATAGGAAAAGAGCAGTAAAAAATACAAACACATGGAGGCTAAACAATACACTACTTAGTAACGAAGTGATCACTGAAGAAATCAAAGAGGAAATTAAAAAATACCTAGAAACAAATGACAATGGAGATACAACGACCCAAAACCTATGGGATGCAGCAAAAGCAGTTCTAAGAGGGAAGTTTATAGCAATACAAGCCCACCTTAAGAAGCAGGAAACATCTCGAATAAACAACCTAACCTTGCACCTCAAGCAATTAGAGAAAGAAGAACAAAAAAACCCCAGAGTTAGCAGAAGGAAAGAAATCATAAAAATCAGATCAGAAATAAATGAAAAAGAAATGAAGGAAACAATAGCAAAGATCAATAAAACTAAAAGCTGGTTCTTTGAGAAGATTAACAAAATTGATAAACCATTAGCCAGACTCATCAAGAAAATAAGGGAGAAGACTCAAATCAATAGAATCAGAAATGAAAAAGGAGAAGTAACAACTGACACTGCAGAAATACAAAAAATCATGAGGGATTACTACAAGCAACTCTATGCCAATAAAATGGACAATCTGGAAGAAATGGACAAATTCTTAGAAATGCACAAACTGCCAAGACTGAATCAGGAAGAAATAGAAAATATGAACAGACCAATCACAAACACTGAAATTGAAACTGTGATTAAAAATCTTCCAACAAACAAAAGCCCAGGACCAGATGGCTTCACAGGCGAATTCTATCAAACATTTAGAGAAGAGCTAACACCTATTCTTCTCAAACTCTTCCAAAATATAGCAGAGGGAGGAACACTCCCAAACTCATTCTACGAGGCCACCATCACCTTGATACCAAAACCAGACAAGGATGTCACAAAGAAAGAAAACTACAGGCCAATATCACTGATGAACATAGATGCAAAAATCCTCAACAAAATACTAGCAAACAGAATCCAACAGCACATTAAAAGGATCATACACCATGATCAAGTGGGGTTTATTCCAGGAATGCAAGGATTCTTCAATATACGCAAATCTATCAATGTGATTAACCATATTAACAAATTGAAGGAGAAAAACCATATGATCATCTCAATAGATGCAGAGAAAGCTTTTGACAAAATTCAACACCCATTTATGATAAAAACCCTGCAGAAAGTAGGTGTAGAGGGAACTTTCCTCAATATAATAAAGGCCGTATATGACAAGCCCACAGCCAACATCATCCTCAATGGCGAAAAACTGAAAGCATTTCCACTAAGGTCAGGAACAAGACAAGGTTGCCCACTCTCACCACTCTTATTCAACATAGTTTTGGAAGTTTTAGCCACAGCAATCAGAGAAGAAAAGGAAATAAAAGGAATCCAAATCGGAAAAGAAGAAGTAAAGCTGTCACTGTTTGCAGATGACATGATACTATACATAGAGAATCCTAAAGATGCTACCAGAAAACTACTAGAGCTAATCAATGAATTTGGTAAAGTAGCAGGATACAAAATTAATGCACAGAAATCTCTGGCATTCCTATATACTAATGATGAAAAATCTGAAAGTGAAATCAAGAAAACACTCCCATTTACCATTGCAACAAAAAGAATAAAATATCTAGGAATAAACCTACCTAAGGAGACAAAAGACCTGTATGCAGAAAATTATAAGACACTGATGAAAGAAATTAAAGATGATACAAACAGATGGAGAGATATACCATGTTCTTGGATTGGAAGAATCAACATTGTGAAAATGACTCTACTTCCCAAAGCAATCTATAGATTCAATGCAATCCCTATCAAACTACCACTGGCATTTTTCACAGAACTAGAACAAAAAATTTCACAATTTGTATGGAAACACAAAAGACCCCGAATAGCCAAAGCAATCTTGAGAACAAAAAATGGAGCTGGAGGAATCAGGCTGCCTGACTTCAGACTATACTACAAAGCTACAGTAATCAAGACAGTATGGTACTGGCACAAAAACAGAAAGATAGATCAATGGAATAGGATAGAAAGCCCAGAGATAAACCCATGCACATATGGTCACCTTATCTTTGATAAAGGTGGCAGGAATATACAGTGGAGAAAGGACAGCCTCTTCAATAAGTGGTGCTGGGAAAATTGGATAGGTACATGTAAAAGTATGAGATTAGATCACTCCCTAACACCATACACAAAAATAAGCTCAAAATGGATTAAAGACCTAAATGTAAGGCCAGAAACTATCAAACTCTTAGAGGAAAACATAGGCAGAACACTCTATGACATAAATCACAGCAAGATCCTTCTTGACCCATCTCCTAGAGTAATGGAGATAAAAACAAAAATAAACAAATGGGACCTAATGAAACTTCAAAGCTTTTGCACAGCAAAGGAAACCATAAACAAGACCAAAAGACAGCCCTCAGAATGGGAGAAAATATTTGCAAATGAATCAACTGACAAAGGATTAATCTCTAAAATTTACAGGCAGCTCATGCAGCTCAATAACAAAAAAATAAACAACCCAATCCAAAAATGGGCAGAAGACCTAAATAGACATTTCTCCAAAGAAGATATACAGACTGCCAACAAACACATGAAAGAATGCTCAACATCATTAATCATTAGAGAAATGCAAATCAAAACTACAATGAGATATCATCTCACACCAGTCAGAATGGCCATCATCAAAAAATCTAGAAACAATAAATGCTGGAGAGGGTGTGGAGAAAAGGGAACACTCTTGCACTGCTGGTGGGAATGTGAGTTGGTTCAGCCACTATGGAGAACAGTATGGAGGTTCCTTAAAAAACTACAAATAGAACTACCATATGACCCAGCAATCCCACTACTAGGTATATACCCTGAGGAAACCAGAATTCAGAAAGAGTCATGTACCAAAATGTTCATTGCAGCTCTATTTACAATAGCCCGGAGATGGAAACAACCTAAGTGCCCGCCGTCGGATGAATGGATAAAGAAGATGTGGCACATATATACAATGGAATATTACTCAGCCATAAAAAGAAATGAAATTGAGTTATTTGTAATGAGGTGGATAGACCTAGAGTCTGTCATACAGAGTGAAGTAAGTCAGAAAGAGAAAAACAAATACCGTATGCTAACACATATATATGGAATCTAAAAAAAAAAAAAAAAAATGGTCATGAAGAACCTAGGGACAAGACGGGAATAAAGAGGCATACCTAACTAGAGAATGGACTTGAGGACACGGGGAGAGGGAATGGTAAGCTGGGACAAAATGAGAGAGTGGTAGTGTATATATAGACATAGATACACTACCAAATGTAAAATAGATAGCTAGTGGGAAGCAGCCACATAGCACAGGGAGATCAGCTAGGTGGTTTGTGACCACCTAGAGGGGTGGGATAGGGAGTGTGGGAGGAAGGGAGATGTAAGAGGGAAGAGATATGGGGATATGTATATATGTATAACTGATTCACTTTGTTATAAAGCAGAAACTAACACACCACTGTAAAGCAATTATACTCCAGTTAAAACGTTTAAAAAAATGTAATTATGAATTCTGTTCTTGTCACCCTTTTAATAAACCTAGCATGTTCCTTCAAAAAAATAAAAGAAATAAAAATGTAAAAGAGGCTGGATAGATTTATTTGAATTTTTTTGAACAAACTGTTATAAAAGGTGCATGATACTTAAAAGAGAAATAGAAATGGGTAATATTTGATACATTAAGAGTAGCTATTACTTTTAAATGTGATAAGCATATCATGCCTATGTTTAATAAAAGACACATATGACCTTATGTGTATATATATATTTATATGTATTTAAATGCATATTCATTTATGGATGAAATATTATGACTTCTCAGATCTTCTTCCAAATAATACGGGAGAGGAGAAAGTGGGTAGGCACAGATAAAACAAGATTGGCTATAAATAAAAAATTGTTGAAGCTATGTAAATGCAAATTCATTAAATTGTTTTGCATAGGTTTAACATTCTCTAAATATTTCTTTTAAAGAATATTTTAAAATAAACTTAACTACCTCTACAAGATAACTTTAAAGAATGAAAGAATTTTGCATGAATATAAAAATAAAGCATGCTCTGTTTCTGGATAAAAGCACTGAATATGTAAAGATGCATATCAACACTCAATATATAATTTTAATGTAATTTCAATCAAAGCACCAACAATCAAACACAAATACAAACAATCAAATAAAACACTAACAAGTTCATTTAGAAAAGGAAAAGTATATGTATAAAATAGTCCAAAATATGTGAGAAATGAATAATGAATATGACATCCAGTTGGTTATCAAGACATAATTGATTGCTATGGCAATTAAAACAATTAGACAATATGGTAGTTAAAGCAATATTATAAAGGAATTGAAAAATACATTAATAAGACAAACTATAGATTGCAAAACTAAATACCCATATTTAGAAGGGAAAGATACAACATTCAATAAAAGATGTTAGCACATTCACCTATTCATTTGGAACAAGGTGAATTAATAATTAACTTAAGATCTAAATGTTTATAAAAAGGAACCAGAAAGTTTTTTTAAAAGGCAGACTAAAGTAGCTTTTCTCTTTAATCTCTTCTTTCCTCTTGCCTGGAATACCGACAGTGCTTAGCATGAACATCTTGAGAACATAAAGATGAAAACCACATGTCTTAGTCAGCTTGGGTTGCTATAACAAGTTACCGTATTGGGTTACTTAAACAACAAACTTTTATTTCTCATAGTTCTGGAAGCTAGGAAATCCAAGATCAAGGTGCTGGTAAATTTTGTGTGTGGTTAGATCCTGGTGTGTAGACAGCCACCTTCTTGCTGTGTCCTCATATGGCTGCAAGAGAGGTCATCTCTCCTGTGTTCTTTCTCACAAGGGCACTAATTGCATTCATGAGGGCTTCACTGTCACGACCTAATCACCTCCCAAACTTGCTCTGTCTCCAAACATCATCACACTGTGGATTAAGGCTTCAACATGTGAATGGAGGGTGGGGGGCAAACATTACATCCATAGCCTTATGCTGAGGATCTCAGAACAGAAATTCAGAAGGACACATGAAATTAATAACCTTCCACACTTGCCTAAAACGGCCTACCTTCAAATTTTCTGTTACATAAGAAAAATCACCCTTGTGAGTAAATTGATGTAGTTAGACTTCTGTTTCACATAGTCAAAAGCAATTGAATGTATAACAACATTCAGAGTTGTTATAACAACTATGAGAGAAGAACCCTATGGATGTTTTAATTCTTTATAAAATAAAATATCAAAAAGCAGAAAAATATCTTGAACAAGTGTAGTTTAATAAAATAAATGCCAGTGCACTAAACTAGAGTCTAATATTGTCGATAGTGAGCAAAAATAAACATTTCAAGTATCAATTATACTTTCTCAATAATTAGCCAAATCTTACCTGGTATCTGTCAGGAATTTAGCCTTCTAAGATATAGGGTATGTCATCCATGCACAGCTCTTCTTCTTTCTCACTCAGCCTCATTGAGTCACACAGAATGAATGGCAGGGTGTTGCCATCCTTCCAATCCTTAATGAAATATGTTCTGTACTGCAGAGAAAAAAAAAGCAACTTTGAAAGTTCATTTTCTAAAAAACTGTAAATTGAAATGAAGTCTACATGTAATGAAATTGATCAGCAAAATACTTTTCAAATATAATTAACCTGAACAAAGAAGCAAAGGCTGAGTGACCTAGAACAGACTCACCTTTTCAGATGCCTCGGTTGTCTTAGACCCCACCAAAGCCTGGTTTGTTACATGGCCTCAGAAAACAGACTTCACTGAGGTGAAAAAGCTAGACTTCCCGGCTCCAATTGGACCCAAAAGCAGAATTCGTATTTGGTGAACCAGTCCTCCATATGGTTCAGAAGTTCTTATAGCAGACAATAAGCTCTACTTGAGCCTGTTTAGACAAGACAATTTTAACAATTTGACTAAGGTTAGGTCACAAGACTCTACCATAAATTTTCCTAGAATTCAGTCTCTTTTCTCATATGTTATTATTTATTTTTGATTAGTATCTTGTATAAAATGACATGAAAATATCTTATCTCAAATTCTATTGTAAAAGAAGTAAGAGTAACAGTTTTAACTAAAGACAATCAGACATAAAACCTTTCAGATTTAAGCATATATAAACCTTGGAATAAACATGAAATAAAACATGGAATAAAAATAAATTATGTTAAACATGAAGATAAATTATCAATAATAAACTTCAAAAACCACAACATAATATGTGACTTTTGAGGTTTATAGAAGTAGAAAATTTCTAACATGTTCTTGAAGTTCATGATAGGTATTCCCCACCTGCCAACCACCCCTGCCCTGAAGTAGTGGAAACCAACCACAGCTGTAAGAATTCTAAGCAAAACTGTAGACATTCAGCCAAATAATTATTTCCTTTTAAGTATATAAAAACATTAGAAATGTCTTTCATCCACTCAGTGTTCTTTTTGTTTTAACATTACTATTATGAAATATTTTATGATTATAAATATAACTTGTTCTTGGTGATCCACAAGTTATCTGCTATAATTTGCACTACGAATTTTATTGACAAAACCTATAATAGAATAAGTCTAAAATAATGAATAGAATAATAGAACATTAAGAACATTGACTTACTCAGTGATCCCATCCATCTTCCTTTTGTCCAATAAATCTAGAGAAATAATCAAAGAATAATGAAGCTTACAAGTAGTTGAATGACTGGCACTGAATGAATGTCATGAATTCACTAGGAAAAAATATAAAAATAGCCTTTCTGTAGGAACAGTGCAGTATGATGAAAAGCAAGTGGAGAAAATTATGGGAAATCTTAACATATTTCATTTGAAGAGTCCAGAGCTAGACTCAATGTAGACACTGCAAGACTATAGTGTCAGCAGATCTTTTCTCACCAAATTACTCAGCAGTAGTGGGTGGCCCACTCCAACATGAGAGATGAGGGCTGAAGTCCTCTCTGAATCAGAGAAGCAAGGTCTAGAGGCATGGACAGGCTAGGGGAAGAC